AAAAAAAAAAAAAAATGATTGTGGCCATACTCTTCAAAAAATCATCATCAGCATAAACAGATACTGAATTTCCATAAATGGGCAACTCCATCATTCAATTTACACCCCCTTCCTTGTTTCAGCAACAAATTGGTAATCAAATTCAGAAAAAATGAACCTCAATTTACCGAACAGATAACAAAATTCCCCATAATTTCAAAAGAAACAAGAAAAAAAAAAAAAAGAAAGAGATCCACTTTAAAAGATATTTAAGCCAAGCAGTCGAAATTATTTACTTCAATCTGAGTTTCAATTCCAATTTCCACAAGGGTTCTTAAGAACCAAAGGGATTTAACACAACAAAAAAATCGAAACAACCCGAGAACGAAATTCAAACAAATTGATGATCAAATTCAGAAGAAAATTCAGTTTCATCCAATAAATTACAAAAAATCCCAAAATTTTCAATACAATGAACACGAGAAAAAATCTGAAAAATCCACTAGCCCCACGGATTCTTAAGAACCAAATGAATTCAACAAATGCTACAATCAGTACTTCACAAACGCAAAAATTCATTTACTGAACAAATTGAGATAAAAGCATCTAACAGCTGCGCTAATCTACGCTCAAAATTCACACTTCCTTCAGTATATTCACTTCATTTTCATATCTATGAGTTCACCACAAGCTTGCTGAACATGATCCACAAACAGATTAATCGAAAAATGCACAAAAAAAAAGGTAAAAACTCGATTACGGGTCGAGGGCTCGAGTCTGCAGAGAGTACCTTACGAGTTCCGAGGCAAAATATCTATATTTCTCCCGACCTTCAAGCGTACATGTAAATAAACTCTCAGAAAATGAGACAGATATTTATAGGCCGCTGCATCCGAGCCTCGCGGTTAGGAGCACGCCCGGTTCGGACGAACGTGCCCACTGATTGCCGTGTGAACACGCCTTCAGTGCTACAGTGTGTTCAACAATTGTATATCGCACATTGTTGGTCGTACATTCCCATGTCAAAATTGTAAAACAAAATAAGTCCGCATGTGAGTTCAACTCGTTTAATACTCCGTATAACTAACAAGACGAGTCGAGTTTTACTTGTAAGGTATTTTGTTAAGATTGAAGGCTCAAGACTATAAATTTTTACATGATTTTATACAATTCAGTCTATTAAGGCTCGAATTTACTTTGTTAGTATTTTAATAAAACAAGTAGAATTCAGGTACGCCGGGCGAGCCAATTTAAGCTCTACTTAACAATGACTTGAACAGTTCATGAGCTCGACTCGTTTATAGCTTGTATTGTTAACGAGTTGAGTCGAGCTATATTGATAAATTTTATTACAATTCGCATTTTATATATTTCAATTCGTTAATATTCAAAATTCGACATATTTATATTCTTAAATAAAGAAAAATCAAATCATTTATCAACTCAATTAGTGATCGAGCACCTATAGAAATAGAGAAAGACAAAACCAGAACAAACCTCGATCCTTGTACTTCTCGTATAATTTTGTCAACTCAGACCAGACGGATACAATTATTTTTCAGGATAATGAGAGACGGCTCAACAAGATAACAATTATTTTTGTGAAGTCTCCTTCAAATATGCTGATAAAGATTGAAGCATTTTTTCGACTCAGATTGAAGTAAACGGTTCACATGTTCTTGCTCCACTGTAAATACATGAAATCACCCAAAGGTGGGCCTTTTGGGGACGACATAAAATGGAACTTTTTCAAATTTCTTAGTGACCATGTTGGCCGATATGCCCCCAGTACGTCTCCTCTCAGTATAGAGGTGCGACAATGATTTCGTAAATTCAAGTAACACATTGTTTAATCGGATAGTGGCTAAAATATCTTGTTGGATTCTCTTTTGTCTTTGCAGGACATAAAGAAACTCTTGGAGAAAGGTGCGAGCAAATGAAGAGAAATCATTGAGCAAGAATGCAGTGGGCATGACTCGATATAAAAATAACAATAATAATAATATTGTCTCTGAGCATACTTGAGCGAATAATGAACGTTCTATATTTGTATACGAATGCTTTTCAATGCGGATGTTTTGATTGTTACGGGTCGTGAAGTGTATGGATGAATGCTCTATAGTTCATGTTTGTGATGCCTATTCATATTGTTGTGTTTAGTTTAAATATGTACTTACAATTCCAGTATGTAGGTTGCTTGTTGCTTCTCAAGAAAAAAAGAAGTGATATGAACCTATATTTATAATTTGGTTTAGAGCTTTTTTTTTTTTTTTTTTTTTTTTTAAGGTAATTTGGTTTTAGAGTTAAATGTGTACGAAAATGAAAGTACTGAAAATAGAAAAAGAGAGAGAACAAAAAAAAAAAAAAAACATCTTTATATTTATTTTAAAATATGTACAGTTACTAAATAGGCACATTAAACACTTAATTTGTGGATTAAATTGACTTTGGCTGGGAGTACTAAATACTAAAATTTTACACTTACACCAAACCCACTAGTAAGACCATCTCCAACCGAAAAACCTATACTCAAACCCATTTTGCAGTAATTATCCCATTTTGCAGTAATTCGTCTCCAACCGAAAAACTCATTCTCAAACCCAAAAGAATATTCTCAGAATATTCTCTTTTATACCAACTTTTATAACTTTTCAATATTACCCACATATTTTACAACTTTACAAATTAAACCACACTATTATTTTAAATTCAATTAGGACTTTATGTAATTTAAATTAATTATACATAATAAAATCGAAGAAATAAGTTTCATTACAAATTAAAATTTTAGCACACAAATAAACTTTTTTAAGAATATCCTATAAATATTTTACAAATACTTTCATAAAATTTTTTATTCAAAGGAATATCCTAGAAATATTTTACAAATACTTTCATAATTTTTTTTATTAATATTTATAGAATGCTCACACCCTACAAATATATAAATTTATTTGTGTATATTTCACATTTTTTTAACATTTCTTGTCGTTACATGTAAAATAAAAACATGTATGAATATAAATTAGGGATAAACAAATATATTTAGTGCACTTGCTTTTTATTGTACAGTTTATATAAAAATAACAACTTTATACCTTCCCAACATTTATATTAAAGTATTAAACTTTTATATAAAAAATTTGTTCATGAATTTTTACATATATTAAATTTTAGATTAAAAAATAACAACTTATTGACAAATCATAAATGATGGTAAATTAAACTAAAACTTAATATTTGAAAATAGAAGGGCCAAAACACAAATAAAAATTTTTTTGCGTACATGAACAGTAAAAACGCATATATGCGTTTGATAGGAGAGAGAAAAGGGCCAAAACCCATTTTGGGTTTGCGTTTGGGTACCGGTTGGAGCATTTTTTTGAGATGCGATTGGTTTTGGGGTACGGTTGGAGTTGCTCTAAGACCGTCTCCAACCGAGCGGCAAAACGCAAAAAATGGGGGAAAATCTTTCCAATGGTACTGCAAACTCAAACCCAAAATGGGTTTTTGAGTTTCTCTCTCTTGATTTTAACGCATATTTGCGTTCCAGCAAAAAAAAATGCGTTTGTACTTTTATTATTCCATTTGGGTCCTCCTTTTTATTTTTATTATACAAAGGGTTTTAAAAAAAAAAAAGATTGTCTGTGGTATGCGGAAACTAAACTGGTAGGGACATTGGGTGATGTTAAAAGTTAACATAATGTTATGGCATTAAAATTTTATATGTATCATGTATCATCATTTTAATTAAAAAATTATAATAAATTGAAATAATATATTTTTTCTATAATATAATATCTATCAGCATTTTATGTATTTGTATATATTATATTTAGTATTAGTAATTATTGACAAGTTAAATACTGTTTTATATTTTTATATTTTTACATAAAGTCTAAATTGAATTGAAAATAAAAATGTGGTTTAATTTGTAAAGTTGTAAAATATGTGGGTAGTATTGAAAAGTTGTAAAAGTTGATGTATAAGAGAATATTCCGAGAATATTCTTTTGGGTTGGAAAATAGGTTTTTCGGTTGGAGATGAATTACTGCAAAATGGGATGTGTACTGTAAAATGGGTTTGAGTTTGGTGTATTCGGTTGGAGATGCTCTAATATGTGATACAAAAAAATAGAAGACATAAATAGATAAAAGAAGGTAATTTTTTATTTCGGAAAAATTACACTTTGCCTACTCAACTATTTATCTTTTTATACTTTGCCCACTAAACTTTTTTTTTTTTTTTTTGCACTTAACCGGTATGAACTTTGATCTTTCGTGCAGTTACCCACTTCCGGCCATCGGAGACAGTCTTCTTATAATTTTTTTTCTCCAACAAATAAATTCATAGATAAGGCAAGTTTGACCAACACATTCTGGGCCACAAGTTAGCTGTAGGCCTTGGCGATGGCCCATTCAATATTCCACGCCCATTTGAGCTCGGAGATTTATACCCAAATTGCACGGGTCATTCTTTTGCATTGTTAACCTAATTTTCGATTTTCCAGTGGCTTCCTCACCAGTATT